GATAACCTCAGGAAGAGCACATGCTAGTTATTAACTTGTTCTATGTAGGCTCTTGACAACAAACAAAACAAAAACAAAGCAAGTCACAGCTGTCTCCAAGAGCAAAGTATGTAATGTTTGACATTTCTCATCTGAGTTATCTCTTTTCTACCTCTAACCAGACAATATACCCTGAAAATAGAAGCAAAACATAACCCCATGAATGTGTTTATAAATTCCTAAATATTGGTATTGCCAAGCTACCCTCCATTAAAAAAATCCTAATAAACAATGGAGTTAAACTGTCCATAATTTCACATTTCCATATTATCTGAGAATATAAAGACTGCTGAGACTCAGCAGTCCTCTGCTGTATATGTGTTTGGGGCCTCATATCACCTGGTTTATGCTATCTGGTTGGTGGTCTACTGTTTGAGAGATCTCAGGGGTCCAGGTTAATTGAGACTGCTGGTCCTCCTACAGGGTCACCCTCCTCCTCAGCTCCTTCCAGCTTTTCCACAATTGAGCCACTGGCGTCAGCAGTTTCTGTCCATTGGTTGTGTGCAAAAATCTGCGTCTGACTCATTCAGCTAATTGTTGGGTCTTTTTGAGGGTAGTCATGATAGGTCCCTTTTTGTGAGCACTCCATAGCCTTAGTAATAGTGTTGTCCAGGCTTTACATCTTTAAAAATAAACTACAGCAATAAAAGAATGTGGCTACAATGGGAAATGTATGCATCTACGCACACGTGGGATAACATATCAGTTTGAGTTTAGTGTACAGAAACAGTGATCCTAAGAGTAACTGTTAACTGTGAAAGCTATACAGTTTGCCAAAAAAATCTTAAATCTTTAATATTATATGAATTGTTCTTGTATTGCTTTTAGTATCAAGATTATTGAAAAGTCAAATGAAGTTATTTTGAGTTAATTGGCTCAAAAATTATTTTCCAAACACCTCATCAATATAAGAATATGAGTAACACTTCAAGCAAGCAATCCCTTTTAGAATACAACTTACTATATACATAAAGTCTTACTTTAATTCAGTCTGATTCCATTATATTTATGCATTTGTCCTCAAAATTTATAATTGTATCTCCTATGTAACACCTGCCTACATAAATTTACTTAAGCCTTAAATAAGATGGTTAAATTAAATGTTTGAGTTTGCAAAACCAAGAATTTTCAAACTTTGGAATTTAGAATGACATAGGACTGTTAAGGACAGGAAGTCTACGTACAAGAGAAGGTAAAATTTGAATTCTTATAGTATCAGAAACATCATAAAGAAAGATAGATATTTAGGACACACATTCATATTTAGGATGCACTATTCATATCATATTTAGGATGCACTATTCACATCAGGTATGTACAGTGAGACACAACAGCTTTCATGTGTCAATATCAGGAGTGCAAGAAAAGTGGCACAAGTTTCTGAAAAGGTACATTTTTTTCAACAATTTGTAATGCCCCAATCAGGCTGAGCACCTGGAAACAGGTGGCTGCATCCTTCAAGTTTCTAAAGATTTCATCAGTTTAAAACGTAATGTTAAATTCACTGAAAAAGTAAGCAGTGTCCTCTTATTAAATATGGACATATTTCAACATCAAGTATTTATCCCTTTTGTGAGAGAAATAAAATTGGTACCTCCATATTTACATTACTACATAAAAAGTGAAGAACCCAGGCAAAACATTCCAAAAGTATAAACTATTAAAAGCAGAACAAGGGATACTCCCTCAGCACATTTCCCATCAAATATAGAAAAAATTTACCATGAGAATCTCAGCTCTGGATGGTGACAAGGAAACAGTAAGAGTGTCCCTACCAGGCAACAGAGAGGAAAAGGCTCTAATTAAGTCACCATCTTTAAATCAGGACAAATCTCATAATTCAACAATGTCATAATGCTTAAAAGGATGGCCTTTTGGGCTACTTGTTCTTAGAGATCAAGTAAAAGCATGCAACTAAACTCATAGGAACAGAGGATCCTTGTTAAAATGGACATGTGAAGGAATGATACTAGAGTTTTATCCTCATTATTCAAGAGGACCCTGAAGCAAACGCCCTAGTCTTGTCACATTGCTAAATACTAACATTGCATGTTTTCCCTTGGATTTAGCTTAGTTCAAAGAATTTTCACACAGCCACAACACCTTCAACCCACAATTTTTCCTGCCTATAAAATATGTGTAGGTAAAGATGGAGGAGAAACTGAGGGAAAGGCCATCCAATGGCTGCCCTAGCTTGAAATCCATGCCCTGAGAGAAAGCCCACCCCTAATACTATTGGAGATATTTGACTATATTTGAAGAGAGGTGCCTATCCTAACTGTCATCTTAGAGGCCTCACCCAATAACTAATGGAAACATATGTAGAGACACACCATAAAACATGAGGCAGTGCTTGGGAAATCTTATGGAAAAGGGGGAGGAGGAGGAAGGATTGAAGGAGCCAAAGAGGTAAGAACACAACAAGAAAATATACAGGATCATGTAACCTGGGCCCATAAGGGATCACAGAGACTTAACCATAAAATTGAGAACATGCATGAGATGGACCTAGGCCCTCTGAATATATGTAACAGTTGTGCAGATCAGTCTCCGTATGGTACAGCTAACAGGAGGAACAGGGGCTATGTCTGACTGTGTTGTCTGCCTTTGGATCCCTTCTCCCTAACGAGGCTGTCTTGTCTAAGCTCAATAGGAGATGGACCTAGTGTTACTACAATTTGAAATGTCAAAGTGTGTTGCTAACTATGGGAGGCCTTCCCTTTTCTGAGGAGAAAGGGAGAATGGGAGGATATGGGGGGAGTTGACAGGGAAGGACAGGAAAGAGAAGAGGGAGGAGAAACTGCAATCAGGATGTCAAGAAAATTAAAATTAATTAATAAGTATAGTTTTTTAAAGGTTAGAAAACAATATTGAGTACTTTGCCAAAACTATAATAATAATAATAATAAATAATTATTAATAATAACCTCTATCACTGAGTTATTTAGAAACAATAGCATATAGTTGATTTTTATTCATGGTCATGTAGTACTTCACCTCTGGTCACAGGTCATTGCCCTTATGTAGTATCTAAGTAGATTTCATATATCACAAGACCTTCGAGAAAAACATTACCACAAAATAGGAATAACTAAAACTTTTCATTATTAACTTAAGATTATAATTCAAACCAAGGCTAATCTAAGCCTATATCCCTCCTGCAATAAGATAAAATTCTTTTATATCCTGAGAGCCAAAATTTTCGATACACCTATAAGCCAGAGTTAATATCGCACCTTGTGGAAACTTTAAACTTAAAAACTGTTAATATATACTAGGCCTCCTTGTATAACCTGTCTTTAAAAGAAGATTGTAACACAAAAACAACAATCTTTATTTACCTTGGAATTCCTATGTAAATCATCATTTATACCCTTAGGTGATGCAGAACTGTAGTCTTAAATTATGCACTCATTCATGCTCCTAACTCATAGCACTACATGTACATATATGTATTATTTTATTCATTTGCTGAAAACAAAATTTAGTTGGAAGTAGCTTTAGAAAACAAGGACCCACCATAGATGCTGGAAATAACACTTGGAAATTTCATGAGAATATTTAGGCTAATGTTTGTTTGTTTGCTTGCTTGCTTGCTTCCTTGCATCTTCTTTGGTTTAAGTCAATTATTTAATCCTTTGGAAAATTGTTAAAGATTTGTATAAAGAACCTCTCATTCTCTCTCCATGTAAAACTTGCTATACTATTCAGTAAGTGCAGACTAAAGTCCTTTGTAAGAGACAGACACTGCCAAATACAAATGCAAAGAGGGACGCACCTACTAGACAAACTTTAGGCAAGCACAGCCACATCTATACAACACATGGGATAACAAAAGACACATGGAGAATGAAGTAGAAAATTCAAATCTTGGCTAAATTATACCAAGGAAAATTGCTTCAATTCCTTTTGTCAATGTAACACCAATACATTATTGGTAATTCTTGGATATATCACTTCTCAACAAAATAAATTGCTTTGAGTTAATGAAGTTTTTCTACTAAGTTTTATATCAGTGTCAGAGCATACTAGTTTAAAACACATCTACATATTTCCCCTGGGCACCAAATATTCTGTATTTCTTGCTGGAAAAGTAGAATATTTAAAAATTATTCATAAATTAATTATAGAGTTACATATCAGCTAAAACAACATTCAAATGTAAGCATAAATATGGAGGAAAATTACGTTGCTGATTTAGAAATGACTGATCACAAGACATTCTAATGGAACCAAAGCCTATGTCATATTTGACAATTCTAACATGCAGTTTAGTTTCTACTTTGATACTGAGTTTCTGATGGACATTTCTAGGGTCAGGATAATCATTGGCTACTTATGAAACTTTAGGGAACTCTCCATAGTAGTAGGCATTCAGATACACAGGAGTCACACAGGTACATGCTTTCTTGTCTTCTGAACACTTAATATGTGAGGATGCTACTCCCTACAATGAACATTCCTGGACATAATACCTGTTATGTCTATAATGAGCTATGGTTATGATAAACTGTTTCTGAAACTTCCACTTTGAAACTCAATTTGGAATGGCTGATGCAATTCACTTTAACTCTTTCAAATGGTGATCAGAAAAACAGTTTGGTGAACTAAACAGGTTAGCAAAATTTCTTAAGAAGTTTCATGCCTGTGGCCTTCATATCCAGTGACATGGATGGAATCATCAGATGTAGGGAGGGGAAACATTGTCATTAAACAAAATTATCAACCCCTGTTTGTCACCTGAACACAGACATTCAAACAGAGAGCCCCGGGTGAGAAAGTGCTTAAGAATCCTCCAGAGGAGAACAAGCAGAAAAGAAAAGTATAGAGGTTCATAAATGTACGAACTACAGTTATAAAAAAAGAGACACACAGGTGTACTCCAGTATACTGATTCTTGGGCTTCAGCCTAAGGATTCATACTGCACTTGGCTCAGGCTCAAGGCATAGGGGATGTGATAAAGATGTTATCTTTGATGTCTGTCTTCCTGATCCTGGAATATTTCTTGCTTTTTAGTGCAGCACATCCCAGGTGCTTTTGGAGAATAAAACCAAATGAAAACAAGGTTGGAGATGTAGAGGATGATTGTTTTTTTTACATATACACAAGACAGGGTCCACTGTTGAATGATCCTTTCAATGGAAATCCAGATATTCAGTAAGTGCTTCTTTCATTCATTTATGTTTCTCATAGTTAATAATGTGTACTAGTGCTAAAGATAGGTTGACCATAATTCTCTGTGTCTATTTTCCCTATTTCCCACTTATGCCACTAAAATAAATCAAAACTGTTTTCTCTCTTTGACTGCTGATTATTTCCCTGTTTCTAGATTAGGCATTTTGCTTAACCATTTAGAATAATATTTGTCAGGCTAAATTACATATACTTTCTATCTTGTTATGAGAGGAATTCACCTAATAGTGACAATTCTTTCTTGGTAAGGATATATGATGTCCCTCAGAAACACAGAGCAAAGCACTGCCCTGAATTTGTTTCTTGGGGGCTGCAATAAAATGATCTTTCAGTGGTCTTCTAGTGTTCCTTCCATTAGTATGGAGAGCCCACTTTCCATGCAGAGATGATCTTCATATTTGCAGTCTTCTTCCTGGGTATGTTTCATATACAGATATTTATCTTTTGTTTGAATAATCTACATATTATCATTTCCAAACTATCTTGCTATGCCTTGTAGCTGCAATCAGAATAGGAAAAAATATTACAGTTTTATCCTTCATTTTCAAGTCTGGTTCATTTAATCATTTGCACAGCCACATTTTTGTTTTATTAAAAATTCCATGTCTTTACTTAAATTCTAACTTAGAAATATATGTAGAAGCCATTCAGGTTATTTGACTAGAGAATTTGTTTACATGTTAGAGTAGGAGATGTCACTTCAAGTATTAACCTGCTATTTTCCTTGTCATGTGCTAGAATAAAAATTCTTTCCTATAGTACATGCCAATATCTAAGAGAGGCATATCAAGGTTACAAATTTGGTCAAATTTCATACTATTGAAGATGGTTTATTGACTTCATACTTTCCCATCATTATTTTGCCCACTATTTAAAATTTTAGACACTCATTCTACAACTACATCTCTATTTTCTATTTTCTAAGCAATAGAAAATATATTTAACATACTCCTTAGTTTGTGTGGTAGGAATCCTTTTCCTTTAGTAGTGAGTTGTGTAGAATTTGGAATTTGATTTCATAAAATCATGGCAAATATCTCCCATTTCATGTTGAGGAAATTGGCACAAATAAAACTCTGTGATGTAGACTTTTTTTATATACGAGGTTCAATGCAGTAGAGTTGTATACCTCGGGACAAAGGTTGTATTCAATTACCTACAGAAGAACTTTGGAGACTGTTGATGAGATTAAAGCAATTTTTAAGAAGAAGTAGAAGTAAGCAGGAGATTTAGTGAAACTACATTAATACAGTGTGTGATGGTCACTGACCTGGATATCAAATATATCTTTATAGATGATGGATGGTGAGAAACATTCTGAGAGTGATTGCATTATAAACCCATAGTCACAGCAAAATGGAACATAGGAAACATGATGTCATAGAAAAGACACACTTGCGGAAGTCATAAGGGAAAAATCAATGGTGTTTGAAATAGAAAATAAAAAATGAGTCTGAATTGTGTTATATTCCCTTTCTCTGGCACTCAAAATATTGGAGGGGAAATCTGTCTTATTAGAAGTCAAGATAGAAACATTTGTACTTCCTCTTACCATTCACACTCCAATCTCATCATAATATGTTCCACTGTACCTAAAAAATGTGATCTTCATTAAAATGATAGAAATTTTATATCTACAAAACAAATAGTTGAAACTAAAGGTCTTTTTTTATATCCAGATTTATGCACTTACATTATGTAAGATGAGAAAGGTAAAAAGAATGCTTTAAATGATAAGAAATAAATTTTCCACTCTAGATTCCTAACTTTCCTTGTTTACAAATAAGAAATCTAAGTTCAATATTTCATAATGTAAAAATGGGTCATGTAGGCATAAATGCCTCAGGTTTACAAATATTGTTATGTGGCCTGATCATTCAGCCTTACTTCCTTTGCTACACTAGCATGTAAACAGACAAGTAGGTATGCGATAGTCTTGGTAATGAAATTGTCTTCATACGCTGTGGAGATGCTTGAGAATGTATTCTGTTATAAACAAAAATATTTAAACTTAATGGAATCCTGGTTTGGCCATATAATGACATATATTGCATATAACAGATATTCAATAACTCACTGAAGTCATATTTTTATCAAAAAATAAAGTAAATGATATTAACTAACACTTAATGGTTATTTATCACATACAAACCATTATCTTGGGGTGTTACATATATTATCTCAGTTCTGATAGACCTAGAAAGGAAGGTACTACTATGGTCTTTTTCTAATATTTTTATATTTTATACTATTTAAAACAATTTTTCATTTAAATATATGGTAATCTTATTCTTTCCATCCCATAAAGTCCTTTTAGACTCTCTTACCTGCCCTACTCACTTAAAGTTCTCTCAACCAACCCACCAAAAAACAAAAACAAAACAAAAAACCCAAGAACAGAAAACACCACTCAAAACCAACCAAACAAACATTAAACAGCAAACATTAAAGAATTTGGCAATCAATGTCTTTCTTAATTAAATTGTACACCTATCAGATGAATATACACTTCAAGTGGAAGCAACTGTTGAGGGGAAAGGGAGAGAACATTGGTTCAATTTGAGTGTCTTCATCCATCTCAATCCAAAACTGTCATAATTCCCATAAGGGTCATGGAAGTGTACAACAGTTTGAAGAGACATTATTGAGGATCCTAGCTTAATAAGAAAAGGAGGAACTGGAATGTTTTTAAATCTTCTCTCCTATTTATCTCAAATTCTCAAAGGAATATAAATCCTGAACTAGGAACCAGAAGACGAAGATCTACAATCAGGTTCATTGGAAGACACTGTGCATGCTGTTTATCCTTTGTAGCTTATGCCTTGAAAACGAGGAAGCTAGGCATCACTCTTAAAATGTTGTTTTGACAAGAATGTTCTACAGATTTAAGACATTGACAAACTTATAACCAATGCCATCCTGTCTCACTTTCTAATAGACAATCTAGTTAAAACTCTCTTCATCCATTTGAGAAACATGTTACTCATGTATCACAGAAATGAATTACTTGGGCTCACATCCTTGATTATCTCCTAATCTAGACAAAACCAAAAAAAAATTGTATTGATACACTGTGAGGAATGCTGTAATAAAAGTCATTACACTACCAAGCTGTTGTTAGTTACTGTGGTAGTTGTTGTTGAAAAACTGAATGATGCTGGGTAAGGATATTTTTAAGATTTATCTTTGAAATCCTCTTTGTATGACCCTGAGTCCAAGTTTAAGCAAATTCTCTTTATATATAAAATTTTAAACATAGATTTATTTAAACATAGATTTATTCCATATGTATTTATTTCTACCAATTCCTAAATAATTCAGTTTTTACTACTGAAAATTATTTCAAAGTTCTATATCCTTTCATAAAAATGACCTTGAGTACTTAGAAAAATGAGATGCTTTCATAAGATAACAAAAGATACAATGTAAAAACTTATAAACATTTTATAAAACAGCAAAACCTGGAAACAACTCCTTAACATAAAGCATAAGGAAAAGTGTCTTTTTGTTCTACTATTACTCAGTATGGCACACAAACTCTTAGGAAGTATCAGAAACATTAGGAAGTAGAATTCAAACTATTTCTATCAGAGATAATATGGTTCGATCATTAAGATTATTTAAAAGTATAATAAAACTCTTATATGACACCAACTAAGTTATGAGCATATAATAAACTTACCAAGATGAGAAGCATTCTATATATCATTACAAACCTGAAAAAAAATAAATCAAGAAAAAATTCCATTTACTTTATCTTCCAAAAGTAAATGAATGAAATGCCAATTATGAAATCCAACCTAACAGATGAAAAATCTATAAAACAAAATCTTTAAAACACTAAAGAAAGAAATGGAAATAGATACTAGAAGACACAAAGGTTCTCAAGGCTCATTGATTAGAAGAAGGAAAATGCAGGCATTGTCAAAAATATTAATTATACTACACAATCTGTAAGATTTTTTTCTGAAGACAATTATTCCAACAAATGTGTAAAAATTAACCTTGTGCCCAACTTAATACTTTACGTTCACCAACTAGGATGCATGGCACTAAGCAATATTCTGAATGCTACCAAAGAAGAAAGATAATCATCAATATCTCCAAGCTATAGTACCAGCAACCTGCAACAATGACTTTCCAGTACAAGTGACTGGTACAAGAGTGACATAAATGCTATTAGAGTACCAAACCACTGTTCTTATATTTAAGGTCCAATGCAAGAGACGGAACTCATACCTGACACTGATAAAGTGGCTAAAGCAGTAGAGACTAGATAGGTCATAGTCTTAGTGAAAAACTACTAAATTTATACTTCAAAACAGCAAAAAAATGACTCCTGCTATATTGCTACAACCATATATCAGTATATGATTCAACCCTCATTAGAGAAGTTGATGGGAATTAACTCAAAGACCCATAACTAGATATGTGCAGAGAATGAGAAACTTTGAATACTTAATGAGATGTCCTTCACCAAGTTTAATGAATTGTAGTAAAATAAGATGCATGGTGCCATTTCAAATTTTTATGTGTGTTGAAACTTCATCAATATCTTAACATTTGGTTAATTTTAATGAAAGTTTCACGGGCTACTGAAAAGACAATATATTCTTCAGTGTTCAGTAGAATGTTCTGTAGGTGTCAACCAGATCTATTTGATTCATAACATTATATGCCTTGAGCTTTTCTGTTTAGGTTTTTTGTTTTTTCTTTTGGTGTAGATTGTTTCGGTTTGTTTGTTTTTGTAGATGACCTGGCTCTGGTGAGATATTGAAGTCATTCACTATTACTCTGCTAGGACCAGTATGTGATTTTAGTAGTTGTGGCATTTCCTTTAGAAACTTGGGTACCTTGTATTGTACATAAATATTTAGAATTTTAATATTCCCTCTGATGTTTCTTTCTTTCATGGGAATATAGTTTATTTGAAGTCTGTATTTCCAGATATTAAAATATCTATC